GCAGTAAATCACATATTACCCAAGAGCTGTAGAGAAATGTTAATAGGGTGTGCACAAGCTATGATTAAGCAACTCACCCCTGTAGCAGACAACTCCTACAGGTGGAGGCGAGAAGATGAGTATGCGCTTCCGAAGCAGCGCGAACTTCCACAGCACCATTATTTGCTCCCCGAAAAACTGGATGAACTGGGACATGCAGCCAGCCGGGTGGGTGATCTACAGAGTGCAAGTAGTGGCAAATGTGGTCATTTTGGGGAGTTACGTTTGATGTTTCAGAGCATTCAAGACAAGGGAGCATCAGTAACCCAAGTGTGTGCTTTCAGACCTTCATTTCAGGGTGCATGCAGCGGCTTATATTAGTAACACTCCAGGTCGGGCAGGCGGTGACTAGTCCGTTTCCTTTAGGGGGAAGAATGGCCTTCTTATCCTCATAGAAGGCCTCTAGTGGAGAATACTGGCCAGGACACTGCAACTGGTGTCTTCAAGGGGATGACAAGGGGAAAAAAGAAGGAATGTGAGCAGATTAAGCTTGAACTCACTTCTTTCTGCACATTCCCACCGGTGCTCACAGCTCATGTTACTGCGTGGACTTTAAATTGTGTATTCAGTATTAGCCAGTGTTTGGTCCTCCTAACGCAAGATCACAGATTGTGCAAAGCAGAAGTTATCCATAAATTGCACAGTGAGATCATCTGAGGCCAGCTGTATGAAATAAATTAAACTTTTCTATTTGATTTAACCACTTAAGCCATACAGATCACACATTTTAGGCTTGCTACTGCAAAGTGTCACACATAAAATGTAGCCAAGATTTCCACACTCCCTTCAAGTTACAGCAGATCTGCTTTAACTGTAACCCAAACCTGTGGTTGTGTCACATTGAGTCAGGATTTTATCATAAGGAGAGCAGTGTTTCAGAAGAGAGGAGGAGAAATGCTGTTAACAGTATTTTCTTCACTCCTGTGCTAAGACTTCATAGAAAAACTGCATGTCAGTGGGTTCTTGCGACAAAAGCTGCAACTGGGATCCTGAGTTCATGTTTAATAAATGAGCCTATATTAAAGGCAGGCATATAAAAAGGAACCTGTGGGCAGGGTATGAAGAGGAAGGAGGAAAACAGCAACTCTACACGTCTCACCTGACTTGGTTCTCCAGGAAGTGCATGTAACGGTAGAGCAGAGTGTAGGACGGAGACAGAATTCCCACAGACTTCATTCTCGCTCCTCGTTCCAGCTCACTCTCCACGGGCATGTTCGCAAAACATGCCAGACCGAAGTAGCCACCCTTACGGAAATATCTGTCCAGTGGGCATAACGGAGAGCAGGAGTAAACACAGACTGACAGATTTCTGAGCCTCACTGAGCTGAAAATTTGACATGTGGAAGTACGTACATGAAGTCGCTGGTGATCCGATGAGAACCGCTGGCCATTGACTTGAATTCAACACCATCCAAGTTGATGTCATGAGGCAGGCACCACTCTATCATATTCCCTGCCATTCACAAACACACACACACAATACCCATGAAGTCACTTCCTACACTGTCTACTTTCATCCTGGCAACTTCCTCCAATCCTGCATGTTAGTCATGTGTTAGCCAGAGGTCAGGGAGAGTAAGAAAGCAGTGACTCAGCCAACACAGCTATGTAAAACGTGAAGAAACTTAGGAATTAGAGAGTTCTGATCAATTCTAAACAAGATCTAAGTGGAAGGATTTCCCCTTTAGACGATTTGGGACTTCAGTAACTTATTTTTGCATGAGCTTTAAAGGATGTTTGACTTTTGTCTCGTGTTGAAAGGTTGCCTCACAATAGTTGAGGTTATTTCTTCGTTATGGCTTTTATGAAAACCGTTCAGCATAATTCATGGTTGCACAGATAAAGATGTCAAAACATCACATGATCGTCATTTCTGCGATTACGCAGTCCACGTCTGAGAATTTTAAATGCGAAGGATAAAAAGAGCAAAGTCTGCTTGCTCACCTGATCTTGTATCAAAGGTAACCACAAACACGGCCACTATCTGGTCTTTTTCCTCCCACTGATCCTTCACTGAGAGGCCGGGGAAAGGGGCGTTACGGTCTGTACCGAGAGGCTGCGGGCGATCCCAGCCGTGCCCGGACAGCTCGGTTCGGCCCGGGCTTCCGTCCCCTTTGACAACAACAGCAGCTGTCACATTGCGGTTCGGACCGGGGGGGATGATGATGGTGGTGGCGTCGATGGTGGTGCTGCTGCTCCACCCAGTACCAGCCGCAGTGTCAGTCGGCGCACTTTTCTCCGCCGCGGAGTCTTCTTCTCGCGGCGGCTGAGGCGTAGGTTGAGCCGCCTGGTTCGGATCGGGCGGTGGGATCTCCTCCCAGTCCAGGAGCGGGGCTCGGTCCGACTGTTCCACCATGGTGCTGCTGCAGCCTCCGAGGACACGAGAACGAAGGGGAGAAAATACACAAAGCTCCGACGTGTCGAGCGGGTTAAGCACGGCGTGAGAGACGGATCATGCTTTCCTGCTGCTCGCGGAGTTGTTTTCTATGTATTTGTAAGCGTGTCACATCCACGGACGGGGCTTCTTTTCCTCCTCCTGCCTCACTGTTTTGATGACGTAGCCCACTTCCGCCCACGTGTCTATATTACTATTTAATACAGTGACCTATTTTTTTTTTTACATTTCCCCTGTCAAATACACAAAACTTTTAAGTTACTTACAACAATGAATATTTGCAACTGCCCTTAATAATGACTATAAAGCGACTTAATTGGCTCATTTAAAAAAATATATTTTAATGAATTTTTATTCTTACTTTCAATGTCAAATGTTAGCTTTTCGTAATATCCCCACACTACCCTAACATTAACTAAATATCACATTTCTTTACTAACGCTTTACGTCAAGGTGTTTCTTCAATTACCACAACTCAACCAATCAGAGAGCTGGATGACTGAAACCGGTGGCGTCATTTATTTAAACAGGAAGTCATACATATGTGGCGCGAAATTCAAGCGTGTTGGCGTGGATGGTCATTTGTTTGTAAGTATACGTGATAAACACACGTTATTAGGGGTATAAGCAATATGAGAAACATCTTTCGAGCTTAACGTTTTTGCTGGCAATAATAAAACAACTGGGCTGCTTATAGTAACCCTTTATCCTACACTAGGCCTCTGACTTTAGAGGTGTGGGGGTGTAACTGTATGAACAAGCAGGTTTCACATTTTGTGCATAACATCAGTCCAGATTTTAGTACAGCGCTGTTGCGCTCTCAGGTGTAAAAGGATATGGCATTATAAAAGAAGCCGTTCCCCAAACTCAGGCCCCAAGCATGGCTACTTTATGTGATGGAATCAGCCAGCAGCTGTTTTCTAGCTGTGGAGAAGAGAGCAGCAGCAGCGGTGACAACTCTGATGACAGCACCTCCAGAGTCTACAGTCCCACCTCTGCCTGCAGGACCCCCAGAGCGCAACGTCACTTCAGTAGAAGCAGCTATTTATGTTCCCCTCAGCACTGCACCAGCCCCATACCTTACGCCTCCTTGAGGAAGCTGAGACTGTGTGACTCTCCCAGCACACCCAAGGTGGGGAAGACTATAGAGTAAAGATGCTTCTGTTCCCCGTCTGTGTGCTTGAATGATGTTTGTTTGTTTTTTCTTTCTCTCTTACTCTAGAGTTTGCTATCAAAGTCCTCCCAGCCTTACTCCGGTCTTAAGATAAGTCGTCAACAGCGAACTCTGCGTTTCGCATCAGCTGCCGCAAACCTAATCACAGCACCTCTTGTCAACGTGAATCCTTTCACCCCAGACCCGGTGCGCAGGAACAGCGAGCAACAGTGGAGGAACAGTTGTAGAAGTGACGATGATGACGACTATGGCCGCAGGTATGCGATTCCACCTTATTACAGGACTGCTGTCACAATAAGAATCTCCAACTGATGACAAAAATGCTTTCAGGATTCAAATTGAACTAGTTTTGGTCTAAGCTTTGCTAGACGTGTCCTGATACACAGGCTGACTTTTGTAGTTCTGTATATAAAGGGCTGAATGGCCTTTCTGTATTCCAGGTTTAAACACAGCCTAACGTCATCTGAAGAGGATGATGAAGCCTTTCTCCCACCAAAGGTACAAAGCTATTTTTACCAGTACTTGTGTTGAATGTAGCCCTCCCCTTTCAGATGCTTCTGATATGCTTTCATCATCGGGCTTTGTCATCTTCAGCTGCCTCCTCACTTTGTGTTTTGTCCAAAAATTACATCCTGCCAGCCCAACTTCCGGAATTTCTACAAGGAATCTCTAGCAGAAAGAAAACTGCTGTCAGAATCCTCACAAAGTGATTTCCTTGTGGACTTATTACCATATTTGGTGAATCATCGCAGAAGAAACCCCAGTTCTCCTCTCATGCGGAGTGACGTGTGCTCTTTCTTTAGAAAGCTTTCCTTCTTACCATGTCTGTTTAATCTGGCAGAGACGAGCTGTCCAAGCCTTTATGCTGTCACGCTACGAGAGCGAATTCCTGGAGCTCGAGTGCATTGGCGTGGGTGAGTTTGGTGCAGTTTATAAGTGTGTGAAGAGGCTGGATGGTTGCTTGTACGCCATCAAGCGCTCCAGACGACCCCTGGCGGGCTCTGCCAACGAGTGAGTCAGCACCGTTTCTGTTTGGCTAACACACATCAGCCCTCCCGATCTTTTAAACACCTTCACTGATAAGATTTTTTTTTTGTTCTTTTATTAGGCAGCTGGCCCTAAAGGAAGTGTATGCACATGCTGTGCTTGGGCACCACCCACACGTTGTCCGATATTACTCAGCATGGGCTGAGGATGATCACATGATTATTCAGAATGAATACTGTGACGGTAGGTTTCAAATCAGCATCTAAAGTAAATATAAAATGAAGGACGGCGTTGATTTTTGTCTTCCCGTGCGTGTCCCTCAGGTGGAAGTCTTAATGACGCTATTGTAAAGAGGGAGGCAACGGGAGAGCTGTTCACAGAGGCAGAGCTGAAAGATCTGCTTCTGCAAGTGTCTGTGGGTCTAAAATACATCCACGGCTCAGGCCTCGTTCACTTGGACATCAAACCAAGTGCGTCTGTTTGACCGCTTCTCCCTTTGGACGTTCATTCGCTGTGCCTCGTTCCTAACGGTTTTTTCTTTTTAGGTAATATATTCATTCGCCACCGCCCCAGCGCAATTGTGACGGGTGAGAGTGAAGAGGAAGAAGAGGGAAACCCTTCAGCCAGAATCATTTACAAAATCGGTATTGATGTTGAATAAAACTACCTTTTTGACAGATTTATTTTTGTTACCGTCGGCTGATTTTGAGTTTTCTGCAGGTGATCTGGGTCATGTGACATCAGCCACCAGTCCTCAAGTTGAGGAGGGGGACAGCCGCTTTCTGGCCAGTGAAGTCCTGCATGAGGTAACTGTTCTGAATGCTCATTCGCATTAGAGGAAAACCGGTTAGTTGCACTTTCCTGTTTTTGTGGTGTTTCTTGTGGTGATTTCACATTTCAGTTGTCTCACTGCTCCCCAGGATTACAGTCACCTCCCCAAGGCGGACATATTTGCCCTGGGCCTCACGGTGCTGCTGGCTGCCGGGGCTTCTCCTCTGCCGCTAAATGGAGATCAGTGGCACAGTCTTAGAGAGGGGCGTCTCCCCAAGCTGCCACAGGAGCTCTCGCCTCCCTTTAGATGTTTACTTCAGGTAATTCTATAACCTTGTTGTTTTAAAAATATTTAATTTAATGCTATTTAAACACTCATCCTTAGTTGCCACCTGTCTAAATATTATTTTTACTTGTTATAGCTGGAATAGCTTATCTTTAGCACTTTTTCTCTGTCAGCTGTTGCTGGAACCAGACCCAACAAAGCGGCCATCTGCTAGGGAGCTTTGCAAGCACACAGTCTTGAGGGAGAAGAGGACTGAGAGGCTGGCTGCTGAGCTGCGAAGAGAGTTGGATGTAGAGAGGTTCAGGACCGCCCTGCTTCAGAAGTAAGAAGAAAACTGAAAATAATTTAAGCTGCAGTCCCCAGTTCGAAGGTTTCAGACCCAAGTCGCACTTGAAGTATTGCAGTAATTAACGGAGATGATGGGAGACTTTCAGAGTACTTATAAGTCACTTATAATAAATAAATGCATTGTGAAGGAAGTGAAACCCCAAGAGAAGTTATAGGCCCAAGTGTTGCTTCTGAGGCGGTGACAATGCAAAAAAAATGCACGAATCGTACCAGCAGGTGGTGCTGTTTCATCTCAGTAATGCTGTAGTAGTCGCCTGTGACAGCCTGTAGTAATCACTCCTTCCTATGTTCATATTTAACAGGCTGGTTTTGGTTGATAACTAATTATAGTTGAAAACACTTTCATTTCCCCTTTCAGAGAACTCCAGGAGGCCCGTCAGGCAGCTTTGTCACCCAAGCAGAACCACCTACAGGGGCACAGACCACCTGTCAAGATGGGCTCCCTCCCCAGACCAGGGAGGAGGCTTGTTGGTAGGAAGACTGCAAGATCCATGAGCTTTGGTTGCCCAGGTTATGAAGTCTGATGAGATGACGTGAAGCCTAATTTTCTGTTTTTTGCTGTGGTGTTTACTCTGACACTCTGCCAAAAGGTTGTGGTAAAGAATGCAGCAGAAGGCAATGTAGCGTGACTCCAGCAGCAACCGTAACAGAGATGATCGCTACATAATCTTATTTTACATTGTGACTCAGACTTAAAGCATTGGACAGAACTGTTTTAATTATATTCTTGACTCAAACATGTTCCAGGTGATAATTTTAACATCTCATAACAAGTGAAGACCAGTATGCTTAACAAGTCAGGCATTTGGTTGTTTTTTTTCTCTTTTAAAACCTGTAAATAAACATTTTAAGCATCTTATCAGCATTTTATTTTGTGTTTTGAGTAGACTGTTTTATTTTGTTTTCCTGTGTCTCTGTGGTGACCTTTGTAATCCAGAAGATGAACAGGGACTTTCCAGTGTAGTGTTGCTCTTATCTATAACTACAGCCAACAGTATGTTGGGCTTGAAAAGCATGAGCCACCATACTGTGAAAGTTATTTGAAAGGCTCTGTTTGTCATAATCTTAAATACCAACTGGAGTTTAGGCTTCCCCAAGACGGATCCAATTAAATTTATTTACCCCCCCCCCCCTTTTTTTTTTTTAACGAGGCCACATTAACACTGCCACTGATTCTTAACACAATACTTGCATAACTGCATAAATTCTAATAATAGTATGTAATTATCTTCCTGTCACAATTTCTAGAGGCATTAAATGGCAAATATGTTATTTAAATAGTCAAAGTAGGTGGATAAGTCAAATGGGACTTACAATATTCGCTTTCTTAAGCTTGTGAAAACATGTCCAGAAGAACTATAACTGTGGGACTATTTTAATGTAACATATTCAGTCAAAAATGACCATGATTAAACGTATATGCGTTTTTGACGCCTTCCGGGTAGTTTGGAGTCAACACCGTGTATGCCAGTCAAAAGATACATATGCAGGCAAAATTCCGACGGTATTTAAAGGCGTCATGACGCAGTAGCGGAAACTGTTTTAAAGACTGAAGCTAGTCGGCAGTCTGCCGCATACATAAGTTTTCACTTCACGCAAATAAGTTAACGTAGGTGACGTAAAAGAGTGTAAGCGAAACGAATCGGTATTTGATGTCATTTTGGTGTTAGGTATACTTTAGCTGCCTGTTATACTTTTAGTTTGTTCGACGTTAAACAACTTTGACAAGCCGAGCCCAAGGTAAGCTAACGTTAGCATTAGCTTAAACTATTTTTTTCTTTAACCACTTGAAAGCCAGTTATTAAAATACAAAATTCCTAAATTTCCTCTGTTTTGACTGACATCGCTTAAATATCGGTTGGGAACTGACTTTTTCCTCTCAGCGACTGTCAGAAACAAATTTCGATGTAATGTTAAAGTGTCCGGTTGTGGCATCTTCACTGCTACTATAGCATTTAATATTGTTATTTTTATCTAAGGGCTCAGGCTGGTTGTAGATGGACCTCTCGACTACTCGGGTTTCGGCGAGTGAGCTCATTTTCGCCTTCCTTCAAGAGGGCCATGAAAGCGCAAGCTACATGAAGGAGCTTCACTCGCTAGGCGAACAGTTCATGTTTTCTTGGGACATCAACAGCAACGGGCACGACGCGCGTAACCTGGATAATGGAGAGCTTGAAACTGATGGTTATCATCCAAGCAACATCGGAGTCTCTATGCAGGATCTTCACCCCATAGTGGATCTACAGATCCGGGGTAAGTAAAATAAAACTATGTAAACTGTCTACAGTCAACTTTGGTATACGTGCCACAGTCATCAGCTGTTTATTTATTTATTTATTTTTAATCAACAATGAGCTGTTTGTGGCAGTTTTTGAGACAGTGTAATAAAATAAATGTTTTATAAACATGTCTTGAGTTAAGAGACCTGATCAAATATATAGTTTGACCCAGATGTTTGTAAATAGTGCCACATTTTCTAAAAGTTATGCCACTAAATCACAATTGACTGAGTTGTTTCCAGTTAATAACAAAACAACAAAGTGAAACCAGGAAATGACCTTGACTCTGTTGTTTATGCTACAGAGCTGAAGTTAATTAGCAGTAGTCCAGAATGTTAAAATAGTCTTAATGGAAACTATAGAAACATGACTTCAGCCATAAATGTTAAACTTTACTCTAATACAATTGTATTAACTTTTTTTTTTTTGCTGCAGGAAATCATGAACAGGCTGCAGCTGTTCTTGAGGTTGCACGAGCATTGGGAGAAATTGCTGCCCAGTTTGAAGACAGAATTGTGACTGAAGCTACCAGGAACCTGAGCAACAACATATCAACTTCCCCTCTTCAAGTGAGTATGGGTTCAGCTAGAGGACTACTCAGTGCTCTATGTGTAAACAAGGGCTAGTTTTAAATATGCCAGTGAAAAACTAATATGTGGATATATTGAGATTACCCTAGTGATGCCACACCAGGTTGTTTTTATTTTGAGCCTAAGTGTATGGACTGATCTATTTGTTTCTGCTTTCCAGAAATGGAAGGATTACCTTGCCTTTGAGGTAGAGAGGGTGATGATGCGTTGGGTAGGTCCTGACCTACCCCGGGAGAGAGTCATCATAGCCCTTGCACTCACGCTGGTGAAGAGGGTGTGCGTGCAGACCCCACAGAGGTTGAGAAACCTTTTCCACACCGCCCTGCAGTACATCGACACTACATGGGCTTGGTGACCGAAGAAAAGCTGTCTCTAAGGAAATGACAGTTACATCTGAAACTGCAGTTTGCGTCTCATGATTAGCCAACTGTGAAAGGAGTTTGTTGATGTGCCAGTGCCAAACACTTCTTAAGAACAACATGAAAGCGTTAAACATGACACTTGAATTTCATTATTCCTTTTGGTACTATTGCTTAAGTGTTATTTTTCTTTATTACTTAAAAAATGTTTACTTTATGTTGCTTATATAAGTAGCATGATTAAAGTTTTTCCCTTCAGAGTATAATTTCATTGTATATACACAAAAACAATAAATCACAGCTGAAGTAGTTTAATCTCTTTATTGTTTTTTGCTTCAAACAATGTTCTGTAGGAAACTCAAGGTACAAAATGCCATGTTGGGTATTGTTTTTGACATCCATCCTGCTCTGGACTTGTAAAGTTTCCCTTTGAAAGTAGATGTAGTTTAAGTTGGTGAGTGTAACATTTGCAGTACTGAAGGTGACATGAACATTCATACAAATTCCTATAATATCTTTAAACTCCAATGATTTTGCGTGATAGCAGCAGTGAGAGTGTGTTAAGGACCAGGCTAACAGATTACATGAGTTCCTCATAAATTTCCCAGCTGTTTTTCCTCTGAGGGAATCAAAGGGAGATTCCACGCTATTTGTTTCCACTTCCTGTTCAGTATATTATTTTGGTTTCTTGTGCTCTGCTTGTTTACTAGAATGTTCAGTGATTTCTTTAATGTAGTGTGAACGCAAAATCCAAAATTACAGCTACATAAGAGGTTGAGTTTCCTGTTCTGAAGACTGAAGTGGTTTTGATTGTCTTTTGGCAACCTGATTTTGCTTTCAATAACTCTCAGCATGCTACTGCTTTTCTTTCTACTTGGGGAGGGAAGTAATATCTTGTCACTGGGGCAGACACTTACAAATGAACCTTTGTGGAACTAGTCGGGTATTATGAGCAGTGCCGCAATAAGGGAAAAGGGGACAAGGCAAAGTACAGAGGACCAAATAAAGATGCTGCGGCGCAAAAGCACGACAGCAAAGTAACTGAAATGAGGGTGAGATGTAACTGGGATAGGTGGGAATAGAGATCCAGTCAAATTCAACCCTAAAAAATGTCAAATAAACTAGATTGAATCAATGTGCTGCATCCATGCCCTACTTTTCTGGAGTAATTATAGCTCATTTACACTGAAAGTAATCGGTGGTTCTTGTTTGGTTAATGCAACCAAATATAGTAGATTAAAAAAAAAAATCAGAACATCTGGTTTCTGAAACAATGCATCAAGATTTTTTTAAATGTTTTAAAACCACAATATATTCAAATTTATGCACTGATATCACAAATTTATTGTGCAACATGGACACGTTAGATTCATTTTTGGTTTCAATCAAAAATATCAAAAATACCATTCACTTCCATAGAAGCCATTTGGTCTGTTTATGAAAGTATCAGATTTACTCACAGGGAGAAAAATATAAATAACCCTTTGTTGCGTAGGAGGCGGAAGAGCAAGAAAACCATATGTCGCACAACATCACAACTTATACTTGAGGTTTATGTTTCCTGTGTGAGCACTGTCAATTTTCAATCCAGCCTCACTGGCTCCAATGAAAGAAACAACGCAAACAGCAAACCAAGAGACACAACAGACGCTGAATCTAAGAGAAGAGGGATAAAAGTTCACACACGCTCTTGTACTCAGTAATACGTACAAAAGATTGGAGGCAAAAAGAAATTGGAAAAAAATTGCAACTGACCCCCAAAAGAAAAACAGAGAAAATAAGAAGTAGAGTGGAGTGCACCGTTTTCACATTGGTGTGTTTGCAGCTGGTTGAAAGAAGCAGCGAGGGACTCCCAGCACTAAGGTTGTGGATGACAAGACATTCTGGTTTGCTGGGGGACACTTTCACACATTTTATACCCGGAAGATTTTTAAAAACTACTTTTAAGGAGATTCTCACCGTGTTTATGCAAATACATTTATTCTATCTTAGCATTCTATACTCTCGCTGCTGAGGATAACACTTTCTCACGCTATTTCCTCTGAAAGCGTATGAGAACGAAGGCTATAACAGCTGCAAGGACTGCCAGAGCAGCCCCTCCATAAAGCAACACTGGGAGCTCTGATTCTGGCTCCGGCTGCACTGGGGCCTCCTCAGCTGGTGCTTTGACAGGGGCCTCCGCAGCCTCTGCGACTGGAGGTGCAGCGACCGTATCGTCTAGCTCTGCCACAGTCTCTGGTTCTGGCTGCGATTCCTTTGGCTGGTGAAACACAGTGGTGGACTCCGGGTTCAGCTCTGGTTCGGACGCTAGTTCTAATGTGTAATCAGGCTCTGCTGGTGTTGTCGGGATTTCCTTGGCTGGAGATGGGACTGCCGTTTCAGCAGGCACTGGATCAGTCGCTGGGGCAGTGACAGCAGCTGGTTCTGGCTCAGGTTCCACTGCAGGAACAGACAAAGGTACTGCAGGTTCAGCTTCAGCAGGTTCAGAGGCAGAGGGAAGCAGCTCTGGTTCTGAGGAAATGAATGAAGGTTCTGCAGACAAGCTTGCAGGTGTTTCTATCACAACTGGCTCTTCTAATGAAATCAGGGATGCTGGAGGTGTGGGGTCTGCCTCAGCTGTCACTGGTGGGGTCTGGACTCTTAACTCCTCCCTGAGCTCAGCTAGCTCACTGTCAGTGCCTAAAACACTCATCATGCTTTCTTCTATCACTCCGCCTTCGCTGCCTTCCTCCAACAGCTCGGCTTCCTCGCGCTCCACATGGACGATGTCCGAGTTTGAGGAGTTGTTTTCACTACGCTCCTCGACCAGAGCAACGCCCTCGTTGCTGTCCAGGCTCTTGATGTCTTCAGGGTCCATTGCACCAACCTGTGCCCACGACTCGTGGCCAGCCAGAGACACAGGTAAGCTTTCTGTCTGCCAGGAGCTCTGCTCGCTGCTGTTGTCTCCGGTGCACAGCAGTGACGAGGGAGGGCTGATCTGGTCGTGATCCTGGTCTCCCGAGAGGATGTAAATGTCGTTGCTGTCTTCGGCAATAGTCACACCTCGCTCTTCATCCGACACCAGGCTGAATACTTCACCCTGTGGCACACAGAAACAAACATGACATTTACATTCAAGTCATTAGTTGAATTTGTTACAATCTTTGTGTTTTGTTAAAGTTTAGTCTCTGGTTGCAACATCAGAGGGCACCTTCTCCCAAGAAAACCATCTTAAGAAATATGAAATAAAAGAAATAAAACTACAATTTTAGCAACATGTAAAAGTTTCTCAGAGTCATAAAATTATAACCAAGAATAAGTTATAAGGCTATATAATAGGACATTTGGGGGGGGGCTTTTGCAGACTAAATCCACACTTGTTTTATCTTCTACGCCACCTAGTGGTGAACAACAGAGGAAGGAAGCATCTGTAAGCTGAGGTCTTGTTATGTAACATGCAAATATAACCATGTGAGTAAGAATAACACAGGGTTGAGTTTGCTGGAAGAAAATCCGTTTAAATAAGTTTCATAAATCAATATATCGAAGCTTAATATATTAAAGTAAGCCTCGTTTTATCATGCAAACATTTAGCAAAGAAAAAACAATAATTTTTTTTAATATGAATGCACATCACTGCACTGACCACTGACCAATTTGTGGTTCAAAATAGGCAACTGACCAAGACAAGCAGTGAAATCAAACATAACAACATCCTGTAGCTCCAAGACTTTGCACATTAACATTTCTCTATCATATCACAACAAAAATCACTCCCCATTGGATCTGTTGCAATAATATAAAACAGAACTTGCTACAGAAAATCGTGATTGCTACGGCTCCAACTCCAGTTTATGCAAGAGGAACATATATGCCAATACTATACTTTGTTAGTATTCACAAATGAAATCCAACCTCATGGCAACACAAGAGGGAAATCTAAGGAAATTCAATTCAATTCAATTCAATTTTATTTATATAGCGCCAAATCACAACAAATGTCGCCTCAAGGCGACTCAAGGCAACTCGAGTCAGTAGGACCGATCCTCTGGGAGTCATTTATTTCTAAAGCTTTTGGCAATCCAACCAACACAAGATGAAAAGATTTCGCTTAGAAAGTAATAGGCTGACTAACCAAAAGAGCAACATACAAACCACCTGGTTGCACAGCATGCCGAGCAGTAGGGGTGGGG